CAACCACATGGCTGAGAGTTTGGAATCACATGTAGGCCAAAATGGATAAGATGTGCAGAATTAGGGATGACTGATTTCCTTCCGTCTTGGCTAGTGAACCAGATTATTTTACAGCAATTAATCATAGTTGTCATGATCACCATCGTTAACATTTATGTTCCAAATTTATTCATTGAAAATCAAATTCAACCAACTCCCATGGTGTGGATTGAACCCATGGCCTATGAACCAAAGGTTCATTCAACAGACAGACACCCTGACTTCCGGACACCTCTAGCCCTTTCTAGTTTGGAAGGGAAAAAAAGGGAGAACCTGCGTTTATGTAGCATAACCTCAGGACATTCCAAAACCAATTATGTACTTTTCAAAGTGTACTTCAAGGGTACCCAGGTTACTGAACAATTCCACTTTTCTTCCAAGTGGATTATTTAACCAAACTCACCCAATGTTTACTGTCTCTGCCAGCTCCCACACCAAAAACACTTGATGCTGTCTCAAGACAGGGGAGGGTACATCATTACAGACTGCTACAATGTGTCAGCTACCCATCCTACATGTGTGTGAGCTTTCGAAAAGTCCTGAAACTGATAACAAGGGAGTTTTCTGTTACTTCTGACACAAAGTATGAAGCACATACCTCGCAATGGCTGTTGCTTGGGGACGAAGAATGCATTCAGTTCCTTACATCTTGTACCTGAGTTAAGCAAATGTTTAACAAGAATGCTTCATTTTTTTGTCACATCTGTCAATGTATAGGTTCATTCCAGAATGAGAGAGGGACTGATAGCAGTTTGTGTGTCATTTTCTCCCTGAGGGAGACAGTGATAGACACCAGTCGGTGTACAGATAGCTCCCTGAGGGAGACAGTGATAGACACCAGTCAATGTGCAGATATCTCCCTGAGAGAGACAGTGATAGGCACCAGACAGTGAACAGATATCCCCCTGAGAGAGACACTGATAGACACTAGTCGGTGTTTTTATCTCCCTGAGGGACACAGTGATAGACTCCAGTCAGTGTAGATATCTTTCTGAGAGAAACAGTGAAAGATACCAATCAGTGTACAGATATCTCCCTAAGAAAGTCAGTGTTAGACATCAGTCAACCTGCAGATACCTCCCTGAGCGAGACAGTGATATATACTGGTCAATGTATAGATATCTCCCTGAAGGTGACAGTGATGCTTACTGGTCAGTGTCTAGATATGTCGCTGAGGGAGACAGTGATAAGTACTGGTCAGTGTACAGGTATCCCGTTGAGCGCAAGCAACTGATGATTACCAATGAATATATAATACCACCCTAAGGCCAAGAACTAACACATCAACCAGTGAAGAGGTAGTTTCCAGAGACACCTCACTCAATATCGAGTTACGTCTCTGAAAGATGATCTGACACAAGGTCTAGTTAAGCATGTTTTCCCTTTGTTGCCAAAAAGGAAATACAGAGGAATTGATGCAAAAGCAAAATGCTGCAGATGCTAGAAATCTGAAATAAAAAGAAACTGCTGGAAATACTCAGCAGGTCTGGCAGCATTAGCAGAGGTAAACAGAGTTAATGTTTCAGGTCAAGATCCTGAAGCCAAAGGAATAGTATAGTCAAATTCAGGAAAACCTAAATATTTGATTACCTGGGAGACAGGAATTTGCAGTGGGCAGAAGTGTAAGCAAGCAAAGGGGTTTTTAATAACTCGGGATAGGAAAATCCAAATCACCCTCAACTCAGAACTTAGCTGCAATGATAAAGATAAGCAGACTGTTCCAGCAATGGGAGCTGAGTGCTATTCACTGGAGTATTGCTGTAGGACAGAGTTTACAGCTCTTCTGGATAGTTCTAGTTAACTAATCACGGGAAATGTATCATTGACCGTCATGCGAGAGAAACGGCTATCAGCAATTTCACTGAGAAGGAAATTGCTTCGGAAATTGGCCCTGTTTTTTTTTCAAACTGCATCCATGACACATCCGAAGATTATGGGTCAGAATGCTCTGTCTGAAAAGGCGATGAAGCACTAAGGAAATCAAAGTTTTGGCAAAGATCTGTAGCTCGGGTTGTGGATGAGGTTGTTGACGTGCTCGCCGAGCTGGCTTGTTCTCGTTCAGACGGTTCGTCACTGTGCTAGGTGACGTCGTCAGTGAGGCCTCCACTGAAGCGATGTTATTCTACTCCACCTGGAATTTATACTTTCTGGTCCGTTATAGTGAGTCATTTCCGATTTTGATCTGTATGGGTTTGTATATGGGGTCTAATTCTATATGTTTGTTGATTGCATTACGGGTGGAGAACCATGCCTCTAGGAATTCCCGTGCGTGTTTATGATTCCTAGAGGCATGGTTCTCCACCCATACTGCAATCAACAAACATATAGAATCGGACCCCATATACAAACCCACACGGATCAAAACCGGAAATGACAGTACTCACCGTAATGGACCAGACAGTATAAATTCCAAGTGGAATAGAATAACATCATTATATCGGAGGCCTCACTGATGATGTCACCTAGTATGGTGACGAAACGTCTGAACGAAAACAAGCCAGCTCAGCGAGCAAATCAACAACCTCACCAACCTCACTAAGGAAATGTTTATTCTGTTTCTCTCTCTTGAGCGAATTTCCCAATGGCAGACAGTTGTTTCTGCTGGGTAGATGAGAGTTGTGTATCAGGAGACTGTGGAAACCCAAGTGCAGCAGATTCCAAGGGAATCCAGTGAAGATTCCAGCTCTCTGTGCACCTTCTCTGCAGCCATAACAGTGTATTCCTCACTCTGTTCTATTACCCTAATGCACTTTGTATGGCATGATCTGCATGCACTACATGCAAAACAATACTTTTTGCTGTACCTATGTACATGTGACAATAACAAATCACATCAAAACAATTTCCCTGTGTCTGAAACCCTCTAAAATTATCTGTTTAAATCGGAGATTTAAGAGGGTTCCACTGCAGTTAAGTAAATAGTTAACCACGAAAGTTAGATTACTAAAATCTGGTCCTGGCTAACTATTAAACTGATCCCCAAATTAGGACACACGACCCCAAATACACCTCCTACTGTAACCATACAACCCAGATCCTGACTTAGCAATTCTCCTTCTTTGCCTGCAATCAAGATACCAACCCCAGTGTTGCCAACAAACACAACACACCCATCACCAGAATCGACAACCTCTCTGCACCCACGACACGACCCCTCCCTTGCCACCAAACTATTGCACTGACCGGGACTGGCCGTAAACACTTCATCACCTACCTACCTGTCCCCTATCCCACCTGGCGCCCTAACCCCATGCTCACCTTGTGTAGCCTTTCAAAGGAGCTTTCTGTGATAGTGGACAGAATATGCCAACCACTGCTGTGAGAAAGGGTTGGACTTGCCCTGATTATCCTGCACTACGGTCAGATTGAAAGTACTCTCCACATTTAGGAAGGAGCCCTGATTTGAATCTCCTGTTAAAAATACCGAGCTCCTCCTTAACAGATAAAAAGGAGAAGCAGCAATCTGCACATAATTGTCATTCTCTGAAAATCTTCCTGTCTCCCTATCTCTATCTTCCATACGCTCCACTAAAAAGATTTGGAGATGACTAGATTGCAGTTAATGACGCAGACAGAGAAAGATAATGCAAAAATGATGAATGTTTCAATCGTAGGGAGCATAGGCTACGGATTAGCAAGTTCGATGTATGGAAGAAAATTTGATGGAGACTCTCTTTTTGCATAGAATGTTCCGGGAGTAGAAACTTTAAAATGTTTTGGAGAGAGGAGAAAGTAGGTGCTGCAAGAGATGTTGCTGTCTTGGTGTGGTGCCATTGCTGTTCAAGAATCCTCTAGCCTAAGTTATATTAGGAACACACAGTCACTAGTTACTTCTAGCAACAAGATGCAGGGAGGCCACCATGAGAACTTATTGTCCCTTATATCCTTTCCCTATTCTTAACATCCCAAAAAATCACAATAGAATAATACAGTCTTACAGTTTTTATGAATACAGAATTCAAGTTGGTAATTCACCAAAGATCCTGAATTCGCCACCTTCCAAACCCACGACCACTTCCATCTCGAAGGACAAAGGCAGCAGATTCAGGGAAACACACACCCTGCAAGCTCCTCTCCAAGCCACTCACCGTCCTGCCATGGAAATATATCGCCGTTCCTTCACTGTCGCTGGGTCACAATCCTGGAATTCCCTCCCTAATAGCATTGTGGGTCAACCCACAGCTGGAGGACTGCATTAGTTCAAGAAGGCAGCTCACCACCACCTTCTCGAGGGCAACTAGGGATGGGCAAGAAATGCTGGCCAACCAATGATGCCCAGATCCCACAAATGAATTAAAACAAAATGGTCTTGTGAAATAAACTCTGTTATTTTGACTAGTTAGACTGTGATTATTAGATGGGGTGCCTTGTGGTTTTAAATTTCAGGACAATCCTGCAATCACCAGGAATGAAAAATTAGTTTACGGGGAGAAAAAATATCATAAATGTATTAATGAAAATGTTGTTTTGAGCTTCTGATTTCTTTCTTCTTGATTATAATGATGCAAACAAGGAGGTATAAAGATAGTTTAGTATAAAGGAGTGAGTTGGTTGGCCATGGAATTGGTCATGTGATGAAACCACAAGGGTTTCAAAGCCAGGGTCAGCAGCCCAAAGGTCACCACAATAAACTACTAATACCAGTATCTACTTCACTGTTATCAACATGGGCAAGATATCAGTCAATGCCAATTGAACAAATTTGACCTATTTACTGGGTTTATATTTCTGTTAGAAGCCTTGATACAATCTTTAGCACAATTGGGCAGGCATTCCAGAAATTCTTGATGTAATATAGACAAGGTAATCATGGCTAGTTACAAAGACATTAGATTCTTGGCTTAATATGTACACACATTAACAACACGTAGACTGATCATTGCTCCAACTGTTGGTATATTTTCTCCCCTCACCTCAATAATATTGAATTCCTCCTTTCTCTTTCTTCTCCACCCATGCAGGATATTTTTAATGCCGTCATTAAGCAGAACCCAATCCTAGTGTACCAGCTTCCGTGTTTCTGGAACGTTCAGCTGTCGGATCACACGCGCTCTGAGCAGTGCTACAAGGATGTGTCAGACCTCAAGGTAAGAGTTGTTTCTGGTGAGGATCATAGTTAGCAAAATGCAGTGAGATTCTTCCATGCTGTACAGTGCTAGAGATAACTCAGTAACAGTTGAGCGAATGCAATGACTTTTGTATCTGAAGATTGCAATGGAATCCATTTCTTTACACTGGTAGAACAACAGAGATCTTGGTTAAATTTAAACTACTTTTATAAGGTACCTTCCTCAGTTGTGCATCAGCTAAGATAGCACCACCTCTTGATGGCTCAATGTTACAACTACTTTGCGATACCTCCAGATATTTTCCTTGTTGGAGCCTCAAGTCATCCACTGCCACAATGACACAACCCAAAAGCTGCTTGTTTCTTTCAGGATCCCTGCACAGATTCCTGTGTTACTTTTGTTAGACCATCATCATGCGACTGTGATGCCTACTCATGTTATTTCCAGCCATTTGGTTTGTCTCTTGCACCATCTTACTTTTGATTATTTGTGATTATTTCTCTGCCTTAATTAATCAGTTCATGGGTCATTCCTTCACTTGTCAACACTCTACTCACGTTATTTGTACCTATCTGTTGACTCTCTTAATTACCTGGAATTATCATGATATTATCTCTCCTATACATTTTGTGCCTGTGTGCCTCTCTCCACTTCACCTGATGAAGGAGCAGCGCTCTGAAAGCTTGTGATTTTAAATAAACCTGTTGGACTATAACCTGGTATCGTGTGACTTCTGACTTTGTCCACCCCAGCCCAACACCAGCACCTCCACATCATGGTTTCCTGTGGGCGATATACCTCCAACAGACAATGGTCATAAATGCTCCATCGTTGCCCTCGCTGCTTCTCTGCAGTAAGATTGGGCCATTGTGGAATAATACAGGAAGTTCAGGATGAACACAGCAGGTTCAGAAGCACGTGTTGGGAGAGAGGAACAGTGTAACTGTCTAAAGTTTTGGCAAAGATCCGTAGCTCGGGTTATGGGTGAGGTTGTTGACTTGCTTGCCGAGCTGGCTTGATTTCGTTCAGATGTTTCGTCACCACGCTAGGTAACATCATCAGTGGAGTCTCTGATGATGCAATGTTATTCTACTCCACTTGGAATTTATACTATAAAGACAGGAAGGAAACTAGATGTCAGAATACATGAACACCAGTTAGCAACAAAACGGCAAGACGAACTCTCCTTAATATCGGTACATTCACACAATGAAGGCCATGAATTTAACTGGGACAAGGTAACCATAGTAGCCCAAGCCAAATATAAACACGCACGGGAATTCCTAGAGGCATGGTTCTCCATCCATAATGCAATCAACACACATATAGAATCGGACCCCATATACAAACACATACAGATCAAAACCGGAAATGGCAGTATTCACCATAACGGACCAGACAGTATAAATTCCAAGTGGAGTAGAGTAACATCGCTTCAACGGAGGCTCCACTGATGATGTCACCTAGCATGGTGACAAAACGTCTGAACAAAAACAAGCCAGCTCGGCGAGCAAGTCAACAATCTCAGCGTAACTGTCTCGTAACCAATGTGACACATCTTCGGAACTGAAGGGAGGTGGAAACACAATGGGTTTGATGCCGTTGACAAACAGGCAGAGACAAGTGGAGCTAAGAGGAAGGTCAGGGAAAGGTTCAAGGGTGAGGATAATCTGAGATCAGTGGTGCCTTGGAACAAAAGGCAAATGGGGTGGTAATGAGAAAGGCTCTTTGGCAACTGGCCCAAAATAGGTGTTAATAGAGAAATAAAGGTTAACTCTGACTCAAGGTAGAAATATGAAAATAAGATACAGGTACTGGGGTGAAAGAAAAATATGTATCCAAATGGAGGACCAAGTTCTTACTTCTGCTTCCACATTCAAATATCTCATTTCACTTCACCTTATTACGAAATAACCAAAATGCCCATTCTAAACCAGTGTGGAGGCTAGAAATTATTCTCAAGACCATCAGTTTGGCAGTTAAACTGTTAGTCTACAGAGACATGCTCAAATCTGATACAATCATTGAATGATTCATTGTAGAAGGAGGTCATTCAGCCCATCTGAAAGACCTATCCAAATAATCCCACTCCCCTCCCTTTTACCCTTGGCACTGCAGTTTTCTCCTCTTCAAGGATTTATCCATTTCCATTTTGGAAGTTACTATCAGATCGGTTTCCAGTCCTCCTCTTCCCCCTTTAGACAGTATGTTTCAAAAGGTCATCATTTGGGTTCAAAAACAGAACGGAATGCAGACTTTGGTAGGGAACTGTGCATTTATTTCCTTGCATTGGTCAGCTACATGCAGAGCTCTGATCAGAGAGCTGGAGCTGGAACCTTGTCATTGGAGATAACAAGATGTAGAGCCGGATGAACACAGCAGGCCAAGCAGCATCAGAGGAGCAGGAAGGCTGACGTTTCGGGCCTAGACCCTTC